TGAGCTCTCGACCCAATATAACTCATAAGACAATTGAAGCCCTGATCGTAGCCGCGAAGAAGAGACCCAAAATTCACATTAGTTTTAGCTGTGGTTTCTCTGGGGCTGGAGATGAGGCACAATTCGCCGCCATTGATGTCAACAGTTATGCCGAAAAAATGCCACAAAATCTTAAGATTAGCGTTGATTTGGGACAAGTGGTCGAACAGAATGAGTGATTCCCTCTCTCTGTTTTTAATATTCTGGTCATTCAGTTATATATCTATTATAACAATAGATAATTGTAATTATTGATTGTATTTATTGATTATATTTATTGATTTTATTAATATTTTATTTAATTATAATAACTACAAATTTTATATACATTTTATTGTAACACACAATTAATTGACGCAATTTGATGAGAATTAATGCGAAATAAAGTTATTTATAAAATACACACTTATTTTAAACACTGCTTCAAAAGTAAACCTAAACTTAAAACTGTTGTTAAATCTGTTGTGGAGTTCATTAGCTGTGAATTCTGTTTATTATAGCTTTGTTTGCATAAAGAATCGGAATATATATTGAAATAATAAAACAAACAATCAATCATAACATAAGTTATTCGCTTCTTATAATTGATTCAAATATAACTTATATTTAAGTCTCGTTTTAAGAAATAGGGATTAAAAGCTAAAACACAAAACAAAAGCGAGAAATAAATAGTAAAGTCGTCAACAAATTTTGTCAAAATCGCAAAGACATGAGTAAATCAAACGTTATATCAGTCGATATGACGGCAAAGAATTCATATGACGCTAATGTATGGTTACTTACTTTATATCGTAACTTACATTATGGTTATAAATATTCAATACCATTAAGTAAGTTAATACAAAAGTAATAATTATAAGTTACAATATAAGTTATAACATATTAATGTATATCATTTCTGGAGTAAACACATTAGAGAAACATAAAGAGAGACACTTTCGATATTAAAAGTCGTTAATCATTGAATTGAGTCATTTTTGTAATATATTTTATTTTTATGGTTTCCTTATATACAAAAATATTTTAGAAATATATTTATATATTTACTCTATTTTTGTACACAATATAAGTTATGTCTTTTCATCAATTCTCAAAAATTAAGAAAATTATGCGATATTTAAATATTAATTATAAAAATGTTTTTCTCATCAATAGTTTTAATACTAAATTTGGAAATATTTTTATTTAAATTTATAATTAATCGATGTTTTGTTGAGATAATGACTGACATAATGAAGTGTTAAATCATAGCAATACTTATATTCGGTCTGCAATGAAATAAAAACATTAATTTCAATGTTTATAATTAAATATCTTAAAAGTCTTACAATATTTTCAATTAATGCCGGTCTATGTCTTCTAACAGTCTTTACGGCATTAAAAATNTATTGAAACAGAAATTAATGAAGATGACTTCAAAATTGTCGATCGGTGAATGTGCTGGCGGTCATCGCATAGAGAATCGTGATAAAAACAGAGACGTTTCTATAGTTCCTCGTATGTCTTCACTTCACCAAAACAATTACATTACATCGGGGTATAAAAAGTTGCGGGCGAACAAGTAGTAGGTTATTTTATGCCAAGTTAGCGCCACCACTTTTTCACCCACCAGTTCTTATACCTCGATGTTGTGAATGAAAAAAATTAAATAAAATTTTAAAATATCTTCGTCTCATGTTATCAAAGAAAGTATCAAAGAAATTAAATCAAAACCAAAACTTTCTTTTATTACACAATGTATTCAGTATTTAACAAATCTATCATTTCATACAAATTCAATACAATTTATGTCACAAATTTGAAACCAATGAAAACTTGTGTCACAAAAAATAACAAATTCTGTAAAATAATCGATCGTTTCGTAGAGATTTAGTGCTTATTTTGTAGCGATTTATTGATTTTTAAAATTTAGTTATCGTGTTATTGTCGACGTTTTGCTTTTTTAAATCCGATGGAAAAATAGTTTTTATTTAATTAAAGAATTTTGAAGGCAATGAGTAAATGACAGAATAAGTCATTAGTTTTTTCAAATTTTTATATTTTTGTTTCGCGTTTTTTCGTTTCCAACAATTTGCTAATTAAAAAAAATAGTTTTTATTTAATTAAAGAATTTTGAAGGCAATGAGTAAATGACAGAATAAGTCATTAGTTTTTTCACATTTTTATATTTTTGTTTCGCGTTTTTTCGTTTCCAACAATTTGCTAATTAAGATAAATGAATGTCTTTTCTGTTGTCTATTAGTGTTTTCATATAAATATAAAATAGAGGCAAAGATCTGACCCGAAAATACGTGAATTACATGTCATATACAGATTGTATGCTAAAAACACAAATAACATGTCATTTACTAACCGATCGTTACGTTTAAAAATAATACTTTTTTTTAAATGAAATGAAGATATTTTGAAATTTCTTAACAAAAGAATTTTGGGATAAATATAATTAAATTTATTTGATTTCTTAGCCGATAATTTTAGGCCGTATTTATCATCGTTTCAGTGCAATGAGAGTACGGATTATATAAATGCCGTGTTTGTCGATGTGAGACATTATTCCCATTTATGACAACAATATTTTTCACATAAATTAATTATATTGTCGTTTTCGTTGCCATTAAATCCAGGGCTACACGAGATCTAAGGAATATATAGTGACTGAATGGCCAATGAATAAGACTGTATCGGATATTTGGTCCCTTATATACGATCACGACTGCAATTCTGTTGTAATACTCGGAGGAATTCCCGCTAATAATAAAGTAAAATAATTACTTTCTTTCTCTCGTTCGTTGGTTTCGTTTACAACACAATACATGTCCTTATCTTTCAGTCTTACCCACAATTCTGGCCCAAAGAGAGCGTCAAATGCAAGAAATTTGGGCCAATATTCTCGGTGGAGACGATGTCGAGTAATAGCCCTCCGAGTATCAACTCGTGGGTCTTTAAGATCAATAAAAAGGTGGCGTCGCTCACAGAACTCATGGCCGGCATTAAAGCCGAGCCTAAAGTGACGCAAGTGTTTGAGTTCACGGCGTGGCCTACGGGTCATAAAGTACCATCGTCAACTAATGCTCTCGTCGAACTGATCAACATGGTTGAAAGGTGGCGACAACGTACCACTTATGGACCCGTTCTCGTCATCTCCGCGTATGTCTTATGCCATTCATTAGTTAAACATTTATATGTAAATCCGATTACAAAAGTTAATTTGCTTAATGCATGCACTCTTCTAATTGATTAGAAATTGTGGTAAATAATTAATCTTTAAATATATTGTATATTGAAAAGTGTGTCAATTGACCTAATTTTTACTAAATCAATAAGATGTTGGTTTAATTGTAATTTGAATGATTGTTAAATAACTTGTTGTAACTTGTTAAATAGATTAATATATTATTCAACATAACCAGAGGGTCAAAAATAATTATTTTACACATGAAACTATAGAAATAGCAAATCACGAGTGGGAGTGTATTGTGCGGCCAATCTAGCCATTGAACAGGTGGTCGCTCACGAAGAAGTGGACATTTTTAATGCCGTAAAGACTGTTAGAAGACATAGACCGGCATTAATTGAAAATATTGTAAGACTTTTAAGATATTTAATTATAAACATTGAAATTAATGTTTTTATTTCATTGCAGACCGAATATAAGTATTGCTATGATTTAACACTTCATTATGTCAGTCATTATCTCAACAAAACATCGATTAATTATAAATAAAAATATTTCCAAATTTATTTAGTATTAAAACTATTGATGAGAAAAACATTTTTATAATTAATATTTAAATATCGCATAATTTTCTTAATTTTTGAGAATTGATGAAAAGACATAACTTATATTGTGTACAAAAATAGAGTAAATATATAAATATATTTCTAAAATATTTTTGTATATAAGGAAACCATAAAAATAAAATATATTACAAAAATGACTCAATTCAATGATTAACGACTTTTAATATCGAAAGTGTCTCGCTTTATGTCTTTCTCGTGTGTTTACTCCAGAAATTATATACATTAATATGTTATAACTTATAATTATTACTTTTGTATTAACTTACTTAATGGTATTGAATATTTATAACCATAATGTAAGTTACGAGTATAAAGTAAGTAACCATACATTAGCGTCATATGAATTCTTTGCCGTCATATCGACTGATATAACATTTGATTTACTCATGTCTTTGCGATTTTGACAAAATTTGTTGACGACTTTTCTATTTATTTCTCACTTTGTTTTGTATTTTAGCTTTTAATCCCTATTTCTTAAAACGAGACTTAAATATAAGTTATATTTGAATCAATTATAAGAAGGGAATAACTTATGTTATGATTGATTGTTTGTTTTATTATTTCAATATATATTCCGATTCTTTATGCAAACAAAGCTATAATAAACAGAATTCACAGCTAATGAACTCCACAACAGATTTAACAACAGTTTTAAGTTTAGGTTTACTTTTGAAGCAGTGTTTAAAATGAGTGTGTATTTTATAAATAACTTTATTTCGCATTAATTGTCATCAAATTGCGTCAATTAATTGTGTGTTACAATAAAATGTATATAAAATTCGTAATTATATTATAATTAAATAAAATATTAATAAAATCAATAAATACAATCAATAATTACAATTATATCTATTGTTATAATAGATATATAACTGAATGACCAGAATATTACAGACAGAGAGAGGGAATCACTCATTCTGTTCGACCACTTGTCCCAAATCAACGCTAATCTTAAGATTTTGTGGCATTTTTTCGGCATAACTGTTGACATCAATTGCTGCGAATTGTGCCTCATCTCCAGCCCCAGAGAAACCACAGCTAAAACTAATGTGAATTTTGGGTCTCTTCTTCGCGGCTACGATCAGGGCTTCAATTGTCTTATGAGTTATATTGGGTCGAGAGCTCATTGTAATGGTCTCGATGTGCGGACAGTTGTCTAAGAGGTCGCAAATACCGGCGTCTGTCATGTCTTTGTGAGCGTTTGCCGAATGTCTCAAAACTAATTTCTTGAGATTTTGCAATTTGGAGAGCGATTCCATAAACGTGTCGGTCATCTGCTTATCGGAGTCGATATCAATAATCTTAATGTTTGGTAAAAATAGGTGAATGTTTTGAAAAAACTCTTCGTTGAGTTCTTTGTATGAAATGACGAGATGTTTGAGGTTTGAGCAGTGCTTAAAGCACTCGACACTTCCGTCCAGTTTTTTGGTAATCTCATAGAATTCAAGACTCAATTTCTCGATTGAATGCAATTTAGAGAAGGCATAGAAGAATCGATTAGAGATCACAGACTCGTTATTTATCGTAAAATTAAATTTCTTTAGTTTAACACAATTTTTGGCGATTTCAGTGATATTCTCGTCGATGGCCTGCAAGTCGTCGTCGAAGATACTGATGGACAGACCCAATGACTCCAAGTTCTCGAACTGAGAGAGATGTGTGATTGCATTCTTCAGCTGATGGCCAATCATGTGATACGTGTATACTTTGATTGTCTTCATTGTCTTGAAGTACTTATCGCTGAGTATTTTCAATTGATTCAATTGTTCAGTCCTTATATCAATCGATTTAATCACTTCTAGTTTCGGCAAAAATGACTTCTCTTCGCAAATGAACGCCGAATTCTCTTCGGTATAGACTTCTCGCAGATTCGGACAATAGTTGAGAAACTTCTTAAGAAAAACGCTGCAATAGTTGGAGTCATTGAAACGAATCACTTCCAGTTTGTGGCCATATTTGTGCCCAAACTCTCTTAATGTGGACTCTTTTAGACCAATCGGATTGCATTCCAATGACTTGAGATAATGGCAATGCTTTCCAATCAGTTCCAGTACTTCTCCGTCAGTAAAACACTGGAAATTAATTTTTTTGATTAGCGGACACTTCTTGAGCACAGACTCGAGCGATGGCTTATCGATGGACTTAAAGCCCGCATAATTGGCAAAACCGGTCGCGTAATCATTGACTTCAATGTCTTTCAATAGTCGATTCAACGTGTTTTGCTCTTCAGTGTCCGATCGGTTCAAATTCAATTGTCTTTGCTTTCTGTAGATAACTCGGAGCCACTGTTTGGACACCGACTCTAACAACACTTTATCACTGAATGGCAGATATGAGAGAATCAGTTCCATCAGGTCGTCGCCGAATCTGTCCATCGAGTCATTCATGTATGGCATGTCTTGCGTGTCATCACTTCGGCACCGGTTATACCCACAACTGGTTCCCTCTCC